CCATAGTTAATTTGATTGACTTTAAGTAAAAGATGTTGTGTGAGTCTCTTTGACGTGCTTCTCACATGCACTATTCTCCGATTCTTGGTAGATTTAGTGATAACAAGCGTCCGATCGATGTGTTTCTCGATCTTTGATTTGGTGTTGACTTTGGTGGATTTGGTGAAGACAAGGGCTTGACCAAAATGTTCCTTAATCGTTGATTTGGTGATGTTTTAGTAAATTTGTTGAAGACGAGAGTCGAATTGACGTGATTCTTGTTCTTCGATCTTTGATTTGGTGGATTTGCTGAAAACGAGGGTCAGATTGACATAGTTCTTGTTCTTTGATTTGATATTGGCTTTATTGAATCTTCTCATCTTTTTTTTACGTTGAATGGTTTTAAGATGATTTGAATCTCTTGAAGAAGGACCTTGACAGTGTTTTTTCTCCTTAGAGATGGATTTGCAAGACCTAAGTTGGGGGTAGACTTCAACAGAGCTTTGTTACTAATCTTCATTCTCCTCCTGAGGTGGACTTGGGCAGTGCTTTCTTGATCTTCCCTCCTCTTTTGCTTCTCTTGCTCTTCTTTTTCTTCTCCCTCTTTGGCTTACCCCAAATCTCTATTTATGGTGTTGAGTTATTCATATAAGGGTATTTTTATGTGAATACCCTTATATGGGCTTTAGGTAGTTGGCTACTCATAAATTTGTGGTCTTTAGTTAATTTATGGAATTTAAGTTCAACCCTTTTTACCTTTTAAAAGTTTGTTTAATTTGGGCTTATGAAATTTAAGTCCATTTTAAATTAATTTAACAAGTTTGGTTAATTACATTTGAACTTATATTATTTGGGCTATAGAATTTAAGTCTAATTCAAGCCCATTTAATTAAATTTAGGCTTATATCATTTGGGCTTATGAAATTTAGGTCAAACTCAATTTTATTTATCTAATTGATTTGAATTTTTTAATATCTACAAATGGCCCCTCGAGGCTTATTTGCATATTTGATATTTATCAATATGTAAATGGGTCTTGATTTGTAGTTTAATTTAAAAGGAGCTTGATCTAATTTATATATATATATATATATATACATATACTAGCAATTGTCTGTATCTGAAGGCACGGTGTTATTTGTAAATTAGTTACAAATATTTGTTCATACATAAATATAAAGTAAAATACAATATTGTAGTAAACGACGAACAAAAGTAGTCCACTAATATTTTTTATAACATCAACTCACATGCATAGCATATATTTTCACATTAAACTGTTACGCCATGAAAATTATGTTATAATTACTGAAACATAATAATTCAAACATCTGAAAAAATATATCAGTTGACAATATTCAATGTTCTGTTTTTTATTCACAATCAACTTTATTTAAATAATAACAGAATTCATAACTAATAGAATGAAAATTAAAACAATACTCCTACAAATAAACTAAGTTTGCAGATGTTGTCAAATGACCAAATATAACTATCAGAAATTCAACCGACTTCCAAAAGATACGACCTAACTATGGAATTTGTATGATTCAAGTTTATAGTAGTGCTTTTAATTTTATATCCTTATTCTCGATTATTTATATTCTTAGTATATTTTCTTAAACTAAACGTTATTTAGTATTAGATTACTTAGTAAAAATTGTTGTTTCGTATTGTTCACTAAATATTGAATTTGTATAATTCGTGTTCATAATATTGCTTATAATTTTGTATCGTTTCTGTCGTTTATAATTTTGTATCATTTTTTTCGAGTATTTAAATTTGGATTATTTAGCAAATATTGTTACTTTGTGTTGTTCACTAAATATTGAATTTGTATGATTCGTGTTTGTATATGAATTTAATCTTGTATATTTTAAATATTAAGCATATTTTCTTTAATATATCTCTTGATATCTGAGTTGCACAATAACTTAAATTTAATCTTGTATATTTTAAATGTTAAGCATATTTTCTTTGTTAAATTAGATTTTTTGTAAGCTATGCTTTTTTTTTATTGATTATGGAAATAACAAAATTGATTATTGAATTTGTATGATTCGAGTTTAGAGTAGTGCTTTCAATTTTATATCATTATTCTCGGTTATTTATATTCTTAGTATATTTTCTTAAACTAAACGTTATTTAATATTGGATTATTTAGTAAAGATTGTTGCTTCGTGTTGTTCGCTAAATATTGAATTTGTATGATTCGTGTTCATTGTATTGCTTATAATTTTATCCCGTTTCTCTCACTTGTAATTTTGTATTATTTTTCTCGGGTATTTAAATTTGGATTATTTAGTAAATATTGTTACTTTGTGTTGTTCACTAAATATTGAATTTGTATGATTCGTGTTTGTATATGAATTTAATCTTGTATATTTTAAATATTAAGCATATTTTCTTTAATATATCTCTTGATATCTGAGTTGCACAATAACTTAAATTTAATCTTGTATATTTTAAATGTTAAGCATATTTTCTTTGTTAAATTAGATTTTTTGCAAGTTATGCTTTTTTTTATTGATTATGAAAATAACAAAATTGATTATTGAATTTGTATGATTCGAGTTTAGAGTAGTGCTTTCAATTTTATATCATTATTCTCGGTTTTTTATATTCTTAGTATATTTTCTTAAACTAAACGTTATTTAATATTGGATTATTTANGTAAGAATAATTGAAAACAAAAACATATTGAAAATTGACGTTCCTGGAGAAGATGAAGTGTCTTTTTGTCTTTGGATGTTTCCCCTAGATCACACTGGGACACGCTGGGTTTTAAACTAAGGTTCCCCACTTCATCATCATTTTGTACTGTTGTTGATTGGCAATTAGCAGCCCATATTTTGTTAAGATGATTCTCTGTAATTAATCAAGAAACAATTTGATAAATTATATAGTTTTTTATCATACATTTTTGTAACAGTAGCAGATGATCCCGATTCGGATCTCTCCATGTATTTTCCAATCAGTTTCTCTCACTATAAACAAGTCAACATATCTTTATCAATAACTTCATGCATTTACCGGGTTGTTTCTTGTCAATGAATGTAGCCATTTCAGATGATACTCATTGGAAATAGTCCACTAACTTTTTTTGAAAGAGACTTAGAGTAGGCATGTTTACATTTGAAAAGTAGGTAGACATTCGGTAACAACAATATTATTTAAATTTAATTTTAATACGGAACTAACTTATGAACTTCATTTAGTATTGAAATTCAAAGTTAATCCAATAGCTAGGAATCATGGACGGAACTAGTATAGGCCCTAGGGGGGCTATGACCCCCCTTAATCTATGAAAAACCCTCATGTATATATATACTATACTCTAAGAAGTTGCTCCATTTCTACAATATATTGGCTCATCCAAGACCACTTCTACAATAAAAGTACATATAATCTTTTACACACCTGTAATTAACCCTCTCTCTCTCTCTAAAATATTCTCCAACTTCAAATTTAATAGGGTGGGGTTATTTCCATCCCACAAATCACATTTTCCACCCTATTAGTGGACGGGGCAGGGAGGAGTATTCTTCACCCTCATATCCACTTTAAAAATATTCATCCACCCCCATTAGTGAAAGAAAGTTTAATCCCCATCCCCGCTATGCGAATAAATTTTGATCATTGTCCCTATCCTATCCTTATCACTATCCTTGACATAATAATTAATTTCTACGATTTTAAGAAAAAAATTGAGAAAAAAAATCTTAAAACCTCAAATGGTTTTGTAAGAATGATGAAAACATATTATATAACAAATGGATGATAAAAAAAAAAAAGAGAAAGAGAAAGTAAAGTATTTTTTTTTTTT